CGTGTAGCACTTTACATAATATCGTAATGCTACTTCTACCATCATGCATCAAGGTACGATGTGTAAAGTTTTTCATATTCATAAGCAGTGAAAAAAATACATATAAAAGAATGTACATTGCTACCCTGTTTATAATAGCAAAACCAAAAAAGTAAAAAATATACCTTTGTTTATTGATAAAGGTTACAAAATATGATCATGGCAAATCAGTAAAATAGATTATTATGCATTCATTAAACATAAAGAATATTTATAGTATATGGAAAGATGTCTATAATATATTAAATATAGAAATCAGTTTACACACAGAAGCTACAGTATCATACCATTTAGGCAAAATTTCTTTCTTATATATTGCTACCAAAAAAAAGACACAGAGGCTAAAGAATTGGTACTTTGTCCACCGGGTAGTAGAGACCCACCAGGGCTGTTGAGCAGAATGGTACACGAGTCAAGCAGTGAGAAGATTAATCTGGCAATAAATAGTATCTAGCTCTGCTAACAGTGTGAGGACTGAACACCCAGATGTGACAAAAGTGCTGCTGAAGGAACTTTGGTCCTGCCATGGATATACTGGGGTTCCCAGTTTGAAGAAATCTGTCTTATCCAAGAACATGGTGTGACCCCAGTCGAAGCTGCAGCTGCTGGCTGTCCCCACACCTCCGGCTGGGGGTGCAGGGGGCAGCAGTGGGGCTGAAGGTATCACTTGTCTCAGCAGTTTTCAATAAATGCTAACTGAGTCTATTTAGGAAAAAGCCACCCCCACACTAATGGGAAGAGCTTGTTTTAAATCTCTGAAGGGACAGTTCATCATCTAAATGATGGAACAGCAATCCCTTAGTCACTTCCGTGTTATGAACAAACCGACCCAGAAGCAGAGCGGCTTCTTGCTTTGGCTCTTTCGTACCCATAGTGTACAAAGCCAATATACTTTTCACTAACATGAAGAAATAAGACGCACCTTTCCCAAATACACACGTAAAACAAGATGGAAGGAATTACAAAGCAATATAAAGTGGCATTTCATAAACTGGATGCACAAAGACAGAATCTAAATAAAGCAGCATTTAAAACAAGAAGAATTCTTGGGTTAAGACCTAGAGAGATGGGCCCTGAGGATATGACAGACCTGGTGTGAGTCAATGTGGCTGGCGTAGGACACACAGGGAAGAGAGTAGGGGTTCTTGGTCCAGCAGCCTCTAATTATAGGCCTCAATGGAGCTGTAAAATGAGGAGGCTGGATTGCATGACTTTTAAGGTCTTTTATTAAGTTCAAAATTTGTAGGATTCCATAAGCCTCATACGGTCTACAGCATGGAATTGACTTACAGTGAAAAGGAAACTCCAGGAGTCAGAAAAAAAGGAGAATGGCTTAGAGAAAGGACTAAGTGTCCATTATCCACTTTAAAGTGACTCAAGCCAATAATAATAGACTTGCAGCCAAGCAGGGCTCTGAGGCTTTCGGTGATAAAAATGCTAGTTAGTTATCTGCAGAGAGTGAGGACAGCCTGTTACAGACGTCACAGAGCACAGAGAGCAGCAGGAAGGCGCCTGTGTGGCCCAGGCACAGGCTGATGGTAGAGTCCACCAGGGACCTGGGGATAGAGGCAGAGAA